TCCTTTTGTTACTACAGCGTATGTCATCTGAGGAAATGGTTTAACTGTATGTATAGAATTTTTCTGGTTAGGAGTCTCATCTCTATCAGGAATTGTTAGTGTAACTGAACTGACACAGCTTCTGCAGCATAGATTAGCCCTCTACTTTCTGGTTTTGCCTTAGTCCCAGATTAGCCTGTTACATGGGCCCTGCCTGCTTTTAACTGGAAAAATTCAAACATGACTATGCATTCTTGGCAGAAGTGACTTTTTAGTGGAGCATGACTACAAAGTTACAGTAATATATGTACTTGCATGTTTTGTTTTCCTTAGAAAAAAGTATTCAAACTGTGACTGTACTGAGTGCATTTTCAAAGCCCATGCAGGTGAGATGTTCTGTAGAGAAAGAAGCTCCAAGGGAAATAACATTGATACTGTGTTCACATTTCTGTGAAACATCATCTAAATGGTGACTTTAAGTTCATGAGATACGTAATAAAGTTATATGAATAAAAAATATAAATATATTAAAATATATGAATATATGAATAAATAGTTTGTCAGCATTGACTCAAGCTTAGTTAGGAAAGTGTTAAAAAGTATTTGGGGGGAAACAGTAATTGGTGGTTACCATTGTTTAGTAGTCGTATTTCACCAGTTTGGAAAATGTATTTCTTGAATGGCTGGAGCTTGAAGAGCGCAAACAGGCAAATGAACGAAAGCTGACAGAGAAACGGTGATAGTAGCTGTAGCTGTGATGCCTTCAACAGCTCCAAATAGAGTGAGGGGAAAAAAATGCTTGTCCTTGTTTTAAGTTTATTTAGTAAGGTTTGTTTAAAGAATCTGAAATGAGGGTGGTCGTCATGCCACTTGTGTGAGGAGAGGGGATTTTTTTGTTGTTCCCCCGGTGTGACTAGGTCTGTCCAACTCTTACTTTGTCAATTGGAGGACTCCAAACTGTTGGAATTACGTAGTTTCCTGAGACTCAGCCACCTGGGTTTCATGTGTAGGAGAGTACACAGGTAATGTCAAGAAGTATGTCACTGGCAGGCACTTGGAGGATTGGGAGAAACAGGCTACCTCCACACAGTGCATAGCTACAGCAAAATAATTTTCTAAGGCTGGCAAAGACTTTTGCTTTCCTGCTGATTGTAAGTAATTAGTCTCTTAAAAATCCTTTTTTCATATGGGGCTATATACATTTCAAGACACTTTTCCCATTTCCTAGATAGTTAAGCTTTTTCCCAGCCCTGGATGACGAATGTTTTGGGCAGTGGTTTTGGTTTTTAAACCCTGTGTGTATTACTTACTGTATCTGGCTATCTCAGACTCTGCATTTCTTTTTGGTACTTGTCACACTAGTATCATAAACCAGCCTGTAGACAAGGATGATGAGACTTGTGGCAGAAGTTAAATGCCATCTGGTAAAGGAAGGTAGTACATCACAGGTTGGTAGTTTCCAGCCTGTACTTTCCTTGGACAGTATCTTCGTGGTCATGGGAAAGTGACTGAGAAAAGGAAGCTGACTAACTTAGTATACCAGTGTCTTTTGCAGTTTCTTAATTGGTCTACACATGAAGGGTCCATAAACTGGAAAAGGTTCACCACAACCATTATCAGTACCAGGGACATCTGTCTGTGTCTTGTCTCAGTGTCCAGTACATTCCTTTATGGGGCAACTTTGTTACTTAGCTATCAGTAAATAAACTCATTTAGGTGGGTGCAAATTATTCACCTTCTTTTCCCCCTTAAGAAACTCTGAGCTGAAGTTTGCTCAGTTCCTAGAACTAAAGTAGGATGGGGAAGGAGAGAATCTGACATGTTTTAGTGTTCTTGTATTTTTGTTCCAGACAGGCACCTGAAGTTGGCAAGAATGTCATCCTTCTCACGGATGATTGTATGTGCTGGCTAGACTGAATATATGTTATTTTTGCAGAGAGCTCTAGGGAGGTGTCACGTATATGCAGTTGCTCATCCGAACACCAGGGCCGATGTGCTGAACGACACAAATGAGAGCAGGGACTGACACTGTAGCCAGCAGAGCTACTCATTACCCCACAAAAACGGGACTGGAAGTCAGGAGTCCCGCCTGAGCATTCTTTGTTCTTTTACAAACAGGTAATCTTAAGAAAACTTCCTAGCAGATCTGCCAAAGAAGATAATCCGTAAGTTGTCCTTTACCTCATCTGAGGGAAGAAAGCAGAGATAGAAGCAGTCTGCACAGCAGGGATCCTTACAAAGGATGGTCTAACAAGGTTCCATATGAACAGAATTTGGCCATTCAGTCTTAATTTTGTTAAAAGGTTGAAGTTTTAGAGTTCTGGATACACCAGGATTCCTCTCTGGTTTTCCTTCTTTATTCTGTATTTATTCCTACTGCATCTTTCTCTTCTCCCCAGGTGACCCTTAATGGTCAGGATAGACCCCCTTTGGTGAGGACTTGAACCCTGCGAACTGTGTAGTGAAGATGGTTCTTTTCAGTTTCACTATGAAGGCGTGTGGCAGATGAAAGAGGGACGTGTCCTCACAGCAGAGGACACTTTGTGTTGCTTCTGGAACTGGGGTCTCACCTTGCCTCTGCCCTAAGACGTCCTCCTGGTCAGGCCACGCACACACTCGCGTGGGGCCGGTCCCCGGGAGATCCCCAGCCTGAAGCAGAAGCAAAGCTTGCGGCGGGGGGGGGGTGGGGGAAGCTCCCTTCCTGCTGTCAGGTTGCAGGAGGGCTCTGCGCTCTGTGTACGTCGTGCTGTGAAAGCTCAGGGAAGGTTCTCGATGCACTCGACTTCCCTGCTTGGTCCTGGTCACTGTGTGTGTGTGATACAGCGAGAATATTCTCACCTCCTAAGAGACTGTACGGTTAGTTGCTACAACAAAAGCCCCTCATACTTTGATGCAGCTGCCAGGGTACACTGTGAAAAAGGTGGATACAAGGTTCTAATGTACAGTTGAGGCTTAACTGAAGCTGCAGAACTGTGAATAGGAACTCGGCGGGAAGTAGAGTGTGATTTTATGGCTATGACATGTGCTGATATAAACCAATTTAAGGTTTCAGGAGTAACTGTGCTGCTCACGTTTTGAGGTGTTGAACTCTTAAATACAGTCCCAAGACAGAACACTTAAGATAATTAAGCCTAGATACTTCGTGCTTTTAAAGAACATCTAGGAGTCCTCAAATGACTTGTTGAAACTTTTCCTGATAGATGCAGTCGGCCTGCAAATTTACATTTTAGAAATACTAAAATGTTAAGTGTGAGATGAGTGGAAACTTACATTCTTGAGTGTAGTACACCCAAGTGGGAGGTGGAAAAAGCCCATTTGTCTAAACGGGTGAAAAATGCTTGCTAGAAAAAGCTTACAGTTAAAATTGTAAGCTGATTCTCTGTTACTGGAATTAAGTGGTGCTTGGTAAGTTTTTCTGCTGCAGAAAGGGTCTCGTGTACTATGTCTGTATAACCCTGTGTAAGTCAGGAGATGGGTGCCAAGGAGCTGTTCCGCAGTGTGCTGGAAACCTTTGTCACCCAGCTGTTCTGGTGACCGATTCCCTTCCCTGGTGGGGCTGACAGTTCAGACGTCCCCCGCAGTTCAGAGAAGGGGTAGTTGAGCTGTACCAGAACACAGATCTCCAGGTACGGTCTGTTCTGATCCGGAGGAGAAAGCCTGCTCTTAAGAGGAGCTGCTGCTTCTGGTAACAATTTATGGCAAAAGGACGGGTCTGCAGTTGGATGTTTTTCCTAGCTCTGCCTGGCTTTATTCTTTTCCCCATCACCTACAGAAGTAGTTTTTTCAGTTAGAGAGAGCAGTAAGCTACCGCAAAGGTAGTCACGCTTCTAGCCTCAATTTAGTCATCACAGTTTGTTAACGATGCTTCAGGAGCTTTTAACAAAATTCTAAGGTTACATTCCTGAAGCAATACAGTGGACTAACCTGCCTTTGAAGACGGTGATAAAACAGCATTTGTGTAGTAGTTCCTGAAAACATGTTTAGAAAGAGAAGTTGCTGGGGAAAAAAAATTCCCTCATCCTAAGAGTGATGATATTCTGGAGACAGCAATCTACAGAGCTGTTGACTAGGAATATGTTAAAAAAAAAAAACAAACAACAAAACAAAACAACAAACACCCAAACTTTTAACTTAGAGGATAATTAAGACATCTTACACTATGCTAATTCACTTCTTTCAACTTGTACTGATAAGAATCAGGGAACATGATAAGGTGGACAGCCTTGTATTAAGAGAAATTTTGTGAACCTTACTTTGGTTTATCATTCTGCTATGGCTTCCTGTGACCTCAGAAAAAAGTTCAACTAGTTCCCCTTTCATAAAAATACCTTCTAAATAAATGTATTCCCATACAAGTATGTAAATACCTTTTTGTGATGGGGTAGAACGTAACATTAAATATACCTGCCAGGTATATTAAAATCATGCTGAGTAACTTAAGGAGAACAGAGTAGTGCTGTTTCCAAGCTTGGGACAGTATCATGGCTATCCAAGAAGGAGCTGGGGAAAATGAGTCAGGAATGCAGGAAGTATCTAAGTACTCATCTTTTTAACTGTCAGGGAGACAAGGCAGTGGACTCCTTCACCAAATTAATACAGTCAGCACAGAAGGGATCCATCCCTCTGTCCTTGCTTATTAAGACAAAGCTAAATCTCTCCCTGCAGCAGTCCTGCCTGCATCTGGGGCCACTCGCTGGAAAACTTCCCCTACAACTGCGCCATTAGTGTCTCAGCTTTACACTAGCACATCCACAGATTAAGACTCCTCTAACATCACTAGCACAGCAGTTGGGAATAATGTTCACAGACAGATTTATTTATTTTTTATTTGAGTAGAAGATGTACATTTTCATAAAGAGAGACAATTCCACTGTTTCCTAGAAGCATATGATAGGAATTTTCTGGGCCGTATGGTCTTTACGGTTTTGTCAGCTTTCTTCTTCCCAAGTTTCTTTTGTTGTCAGAAAACTACCCTTGCAAGTTCAAACAGAACCTGTGGAATATCAAACACATTGATAAGAATTTTTATTTGATTTAATAATCCTTAAAACAGTTTATGCTGTTAACGAGATAATCTGAAAAATAACTGCAGCTGTGATTTAAAAGTTACTTGCAAAGAACTGAAGACTAATCCCCTTACACAGTACATTAGTAAAATAATCCCGATTCTCAAATTCTGAAGCATGTAAGTTGCACTTCTTGTTACATTTTCAATGTGATAGTAGAGAAAACCCCACCAACCTCTATGGTGATGAGTATTACTATCATCCACTCGAGGCGCAGAGTGTGCTTTTCATTCAGGTGGTTCCGCATTAGGTCTGTCAGCTCCATGCAGTGCTGAAGCTTTTCATTCATTACCTGCAAGAGATTCCATGTACATGGCAAATCTGGATTCCATAAGTGGAATGAGATCACTGAAAATAAAGGCACGCAATCCACAGCAGGGCTCGCTGAACAGAACTAGAATTGCTAACACTGCCACAAAAGAATAGAACAGAAAGTCCTGTAAGGCAACATGCACAAGCAAGAGAAGTTTCAATATAAATTAGTGTTATTTCAATTGGTTCACAGAAGTAACAGAAATACAGATATGCCTCTGCAGGTATTAAACTGTTCCTGGGTGCTATCATGAAAACAGGCACAAGCAAAAGATGCAGCTTGCTGGAATGCCTCACAAGTAACTAAGTATTTAATGAAGGCTGCTGTCCCACCAGAAGAGGTGGTTCTCATGCTGCTTATTCTGGTTCAGCAGTAAGCATTACGTCACCCTTCAGTGAACTGACCTGAATGATCATGTCAGTAAGAAGACTGCTTCACCTCTCTTTTTTGACTTGCTTTCTTGCACACATTTCAGAACAAGAATTAAATCTCCTCTTCTTAAAACTATTTAAAGCCTAATTTAGTGGCTCAGGAAATATGCAATCCATTCATGTGAGACAGGGTTGTTAACCTAAACTGGGTAAAAGATGTGAGTGGGTTACAAACACAGGGAAAAGGGGATAGTGTATAGGATCCTATTATTCTTCATTCAGTTTCTACAACTAAAACAGACATTCATGGAGCCATCTGTAACCCTGCTGAGCCAAAGCTACCTGATCTGAGTGTGAAAAATTCTCGTAACAGCAAGACACCTACCTTAACTCTGCGATTAATGTTGAGAAACTGGCAAGTCTTGTCATAAAGCTCTTCCAGTTTTTCTCTATCCCAGTAGAAGTCGGGTGTTATTAGCAGGTCTGAACTCAGATTTATACGGTGTCTAAAAAGAACGGGTACTACAGTAGTTCAGACTTTCTTTTGGTGAATATAGGAGCAAACATTTACAAAGTAGTTAAAAAAAATCAGAAAAATTTTCCTGTAATTTTCAGTAAAACATGAGAAGAATCTCCTTTCGTAACAAAAATAAAATTGTAGTGATTGTTTAAAATCGGTCACGCCTCCTGAAACTGTTCTGAGAGTACTGCACTGTTTAACAGTTCTCAGCATAAATGACTTACCTTATGGCAACACTGCCTCCTCACCCTGTCACCTTCCTTAAGGTTTGATATCTGCAGAGAAGTCCTCGACTATGCTATTAGCTCACTGAAGTAGTACAGGAGTTAAAGTTACTGGGGAGCTCCTTAACAGCTTGTTTATATCTCAGAACTCTTCAAGTGTGACTGGTACTGCATGCTGGGTACATGAGCATAGCACGCCTTTTAGAACCAGGCGACAGTATCATAAAGACTAAGAGCTAAAATCTCCCACCCTCAACCTACTGCTCCCATAAATCTCTGGACACTTAGATCACCATTGTTCATTACTAAACAGTTCTTCCAGTAGGGATATAAAACTGAATGTTTAAAATAGGAATTGCTTTTTAAATTTACCTCTTTCTTTGCTGATTTTGAGGGGATTTTTATAGAATCGTGTGTAATGCCGTGAATTCTCAAGTGGCCAAATTTCACTTGAGAGGGGAAAAAAACCCCATTACATTCTTACAATGTAGCAGGGGTATCTGACTAAGTCAAGGGAAGAACGGAACTCACAGAAAAGCTTTACGAAGTCTGTGCCGTAGTTAACAGTTCTGCCTGCCCCTGCCCTGCCTCCTGGTATCCTCTGCGTACTCTAGTATCTACTGTAATTACTGGTTGTGAGACGTGTGTTGCTGGACCCAGGGAGGGAAAAGGGTGTGGAATTTGGCCATTTACAATATGCTGCTCGATCCCTGTCTCTAGTTGAGCTGCCACAGTGTGAGTGGTGAGCCAGTGGGTGCTCTAACATAAACAGCACGCCCAGTCTCCAGCCAAAAGAAGGTTGAAGGAATTCCCCCCGGCCCCATCCCGCTGTGTTTACTGCGTATTCTGGTCTTTGCATCATGCCCAACTTAAAAAGTAAATTCTGTGTAATACGTCTTGGGTGTAACTGAAAAAGTTACCTTAATGCAAAGAGTTCTCCAATTTTCTGCATTACATCCGCGTGAGACAGTTTTACCTTCCTTCGTGACTTCAGTATCTGCAAAGTAACAAGCTTTTCACTGCTTGATCGAGTAGCATCTACTAGTAGTTAAGAAAGTTTCCAGTTTTACAGCCTGAAGTATGAATGTCAGTTAAGATCTGAACGCATATCATACTTACTAACATTTGAGTTTTGTTTGCTTAGTGTCTTGCTTATCTAGCTTTATAGGAATATCACCATGCAACTGTTCACCCAGGTTTTTCAAGAAATCACTGAATAGGTCATCGGAATCTACACAAAATCCTGGAGCATTTTCTAGGGATGATTTCCTGAACAAGAGACCATTTGTTTCTTTCTTCCTACTATTGTTATTTTTAAGTCATGACTGTGTTCTTTTACCTTGCCACTACTTAGCCTTTTTATACTTTTTCCTTACAACAAACAGTGTATTACCATTTATTTCCTTCATAAAAAAAATAATAAAAATGATGTTTTCTCTTTTGAACCCTACAAATCTCATTTTTATATGCAACATCATATGGACTTTGTACTTTAATTAAGTCTCATGAAAAACTGTGGTTTAAGTAATTCACTCAAACTCTTCATTATATTCCAGTTAAAGCACATTACTTTCAGCCCAAGCTACCACACACTGTGTTTAGCCAGGTTTTAAAATGCTGCTTGTCCTGTCACGCATACACATTCAACAGTGGCAGGTGACAGTGGCACAACATGGGAAGCATCATTCCAATCCTTTAAAGACTGGTGATTTCTTGTCCTGCCACCTTGCAGGTGTCCTGAGCTTCTTTACGTTGGTGGCTTTACCATCCACCGACCATGCTAAGCATTCAATTGCTTTTCCCAAACCCTCAGCTGTATCTGGACTGATTTTTTTTTTTTTTTTTTTTTTTTACACAGCACAGGAGAAAAGGAGGGGAGACATAAAAACAAGACCTCACCTCCGGAATCGACTGGATAGATTCCACAAAGTTATCCAGTAATGACTCCCAAATAGCCAGCTTTACTGCAACACAAAGGTGACAAAGCAGAACACTCTGAGAGGTATATATGCTTCTAAGTAATCATAACTTTAAACCTGCCAACATGCTGCTTCAAGACATGTTGCTAGATACAAACATTATTTGCAGGAAGTTACTGTTAGTATTATACAAGCAATGTTCATACATCTGTGGACAAATCTGGGCTGGGCACTGACACAGCTCTGCATGCAGAGCCACCTTGAGCACAGCTCTTGACTCCAAATGATCAGTCCAGATCCTGGAGAGTTTCTACTTCAGCTCAAAAGCTGCATGTTTATGTGCTCTACCGTATGTACGAAGCCTTTGCAAACTATGTTCCGAGGAGGCTGGAGATAATGAGCCGTGCTGGCACCAGGCTGACTTCGTGTGGTGCCACTCAAGAGTCTCCACTGCATTTCTAGTGCCCTGCAGAACTCTCCTTCTCCATTTGTCCCACGTTTGAGGCATCATGCTCAAACCACGGAGAGTTAGCTTGTATAGACACACCACCTGTACTTGTTGAAGCTAAATTCAAATGTAAGCAATCTCTCATTTTGGTTTTGGGTGAATATAATGTTCACAGAAGGTGTAACTTCTGTTCTGTGGAAGCTGCTCAGCATGGGCAATGGCAACACAAATTCCACTATGCCTCAAGCTTGAGCCTGGAAAGGTGTTTCTACAGGAAGATGATGTAACTCAGGCCTTTGTTCTTTAGTCCGCAGATTCCCAGACAAGAATGAAGTAGCAACAGATCAAAAATTAACCTATTCACTCAGAAAAATTAATCGGGGAAGATTTAGTTGTCAAAATGAACTCTTTTGTGGTAATCGATAGTATCATCTAGTCAGGACAGTGATAGTAAATCCAACGCCAAGCATTTTTCACATTCATCTTTTGAATAGAGAGGCCTAATCCAAGTCAGTGACTTAAATGACATTCGATTTAGCCCCTGAAAAAAATCCAATAGGCATTTCAGCTATCACCGATTATTTGACAGAGATTGGTTTCTGCTGTGTCATAAATTTGACTTTGACTCTACTTGCATCCTTTATTTTTTATTAAATGTTATTGAACTGTTTTCCTTTAGGATGTGGATGTCTCACACTAACATAAATTGGTACCAGTTATTTCCTGGGAATAAATTGTTTGCTCCGTTATATGTGGCACTACTCTTCGATGCAGTGGCTTTATGAATAGGAAAACTATAAAGAACAAAAGGCTTTTTTCCTCAAAAGCTTTTCCTTCAACAGTGAAGAACCATTTAGTTATGCTGTACTCCCTGATCAAACGGTATATCACTTCAAAAACATGCCTTCTGTTTCTTGATGTCTCTTCTGTTTAAAGGTGCATTTCCCCAAATACTACAGGAATCCCGTAATTGACCCTAAAAGCAGCAGGGGGTAGACAGACCAGATTTCCTTTAAATGTCTTTTCGAGGATGGCCTTACTGGTGCTAGCTTCTACTCCCACTTCCTACCCCATTCGAGGCCTGAAGCAGCAGAAATGTATTTCCTCAAGCAGCAGCAGCACTGCTGCTGAGCCTGACTTCTTCCCAGTGCCTCCTGCTGCCTCCTGCCATGGCTAATAAGCCTGGAAAACGTTATCTGTGACTCTGGTCCACACCTCTGATACTGATACACCTCCCCAGCTGGGAATCAGTGCTCTACATTACTTCTTTAGCTGGCATCTAGCTTTTTCTGATAAAGGAAATGATGTCAGGATGTATTACCTGAGATTACTGACACGTTTCTAATACTGGACTCTACACTCGCTGCTATCCTAGAATAGTTCTCAAGGGTGGGGAACAGGATGCTTCAGCAGAACGTGTATCTTTGCAAAGTATGTTTGTTCATGTGTTTTGTTCATCTTTGTGACTATTTACATTGAATGAGGTAATTCCAATTTAAAGAAAACAAGATAAAAACTTTGAAAACGAATCCTCCCCCTGAAGTACAATCAATCGTTACACAGTTTGCCTAAACCAGACACCAAGTCTTCTCCAACCTGTCACTGTACAAGTCACAGTTATACTGACATTTCACAAAATCTGTAGCATAGGCTGACAGTACAAACAAGATTAACTTACCAGAAAGACAAAGAGCATTTGAAAAGGCAAATTTCTGCAGAACAACTTCATCACTATCCAGTTCAGAATTTAATAAGATTTCTCCTTTATGAAGCTTTGTCTGACCTCTGTTAAAACAGGATTGAAGCATCTTCACTGACTAGAGCCACCAGCAAAGGGACATTTAAACAGCAGTCAACAATGCAAGAAAGATTTGTTGGTTATTCATATAAAGCATGCCATATCTGTATGGATATCATCCCCATCATTGCATTTTACTCATGTTCAACCTGACAATAACCAAAACAAATCCGTGAAAATTAGTTCCTCGGTCTAAGACTAATATTATGCCCAAATTTTCTAGGTTTAAATGAAACTACAGCAAGCCATGATGGTAACTACAGCATTGCTAAATGTGCACAGATAATACAGAGTAAGCAGGATGCTGGCCTCTCTCCTGCTCTCTATCTCCCGTATTATTTTTCTGTTTCTGTTTTCCTTTTCTTCTGCCACTTTTATCGACAGCACTCACTCCCTGCTATGATGTTACTGAAACCTCTACTGCATAGGGGGCCAGGAATAAAGAAAAGGGGGCATGAGCATCATTCAATTTATCATGTCAATCTCACTATGAAACTTGCATAAACACAATGGAGTATGTCAGGAATCACACATTACACAACTGGATAGTATCTGCAGTTTTCAAATGACCAGGAAAACACAAAAACAAAAACCCGTCCTCTTATCAGGTTACCTTAAATAAGGTCAACCTCATTAACTCAGCTCCTAGTGTTACAGTGTCCTGTCCAAGAGTAGTTTTTTGGTGCTGTTGGAAAATTACAGATAATTTATATCATCATTTACACTGAGAAATATTTCTGTAGAGATCATTTGCTCCTGCTGATGAAAAAACATTATTTAGCAAGGCAAGACAACTTGCCAGGTTTATCATTCCACAGTATTCAAGTTAAAACTTTCCTAGGAAGTAAAGTATGTGCAGAATTACACCATTGTATATGAACCTAGACAGCACTAAGGAAAGCTGTTGCAGAGAATCCTGTTTAAAATCAGACTTGTATCAATAACGCGTATTTGTTTTTTTTTCTGTGAGGTACACAGTTTCTATATGGGATTGCTGAAGAACATGATCATTTGCGTGGACATGGAGCTTCATTTACAAAATCTACTGCACAATCAAGTCGTAGAGGCCATTAATTGCAAATTTAGCAATACAGCAAAATTTTTCAATTTAAATTTACCGTTTTCTCCCCTTCTTATCTTACTAATTTGCAAAAAGAGAAAGCACAAGTATATTTTTTTACTAGTTGCCTTTGCTTGAATTTGTTTTGGGCGTCTATAAGCTTCTATAGAAAGAGTGCCTGAAGATACTTACTCTCCTATTCTATAGTTTATCTCCTCATTCTCCCAGTGGACTAGTGCAACTTCATATGGCTGAATTTCATGCTGTTCTAGCACTTGCATGATCTTCTTCATCTAAGAGAAAGACAATTGCACACACAGGAACAGTTCATATGCACTATACTATCACTCTACAAAGATCTCACTTCTAATAGGTCGATGAATGCAACTTTCATGCTGAAGTTATTTAAATAACAATGAACAGGCATGCTAAGTAATTAAGTGATTATTACCACAGTTTACTTCTGAAACTATCTGTAGCTGTGTGGAAGAATCTGTGGCTATGAACAACTGCAAGGAATCTGTGAAGACTAAAATGTCATTTAATGTCTGCATGTATAAAACACAGTAAGGATTAACTACAGCAGCAGTAAAGACAATGTGGACATACTCAGTTTTATAACAGTGAGCTGTACAAGGTTTTGGCAGATGTCTGAGTGGGAATTAATCTTTAGGATAAGTACGTCAGGTGTCTTGTTTCTGCCCAAATTACTCGTTTTCTGCTAAAATCAACAGTTTTGTTTCAGCTATCAGAGGTTGGGTTATATTACAAAAATCCTTTACCACTACAGAAATCTGTCAAGATGGTTTCAGCTGCCCACATTCAACACTGTAAACAGTTAAATGTGCAATTTTACTTGCAGAAGTAATGTCATTGTCATTTTATTCTCAAGCACAATAAAACCTGATGCAGGAAGAAGCCTTTTTCTCTCACAAAACCTTCTCCTCTGACATCTGACTTAGGATTCCTCATCCTTATTCCTTTCTATGTGCTACGAGGCTCCCCTCATAAAAATAATTCTGCAATTGGAACAAATTCTGAACTAAAAAAAGCACTCACCTACAGGTTTTTAAAAGGCATTTAGCTACACAACAGCCAATAAAAAACCCCAGAAGAACACAATACACTTTTGATGCCTAAATTAAGAGGTGAATCTTCTATTAAGTCATACTTAAAACACTGTCTTCAAAATAATAGATAATAATCTTTTAGTGCAAAACTGTATGCTACTAATTTGTTCACAAAGCAAATTCTCCAGGCTAAGTAATCTAAAAAAAATTGTTGGATCACCTGCAGAGGGATTTTCTTTGCAGTCCTAGATTTCTTCATTGCTTTCAAGAATTTTGGTGATACTGTATGTAAGACATGATAGCATTTTTCACTAAAAAAAAAAAAAAACAACCAATCCTACAGCTGCAACTGTTTGTTTCATAATCCTGAATTTAATGTTAGCATGACTAGTACCTACCATATTTTCCAAGTCTCTTGGTAAAAAAAGGGGTATGAAAAATTATTTTCATTTTTTAATCAGTGCCTGCTGTTAGGCCAGTGAGCTCAGCCAACCAGCTCTGCTGCATCCAGAGACAGTTCAGCAATGCAAACCCCTCTAAAACAATGCCAGTTAATCACCAATCCATACTGTAGCATGCCAGAATCCAAGAGTGTGTTGTTCACTTGGATCCAGGTGCTCTAGTTGGCTTTGTGAAGTCATTACTAATACAGTAATAATTACGCTGTTAATAGACTAACCATCCCTTCCCCCTACAACCAGCTCAGGCTTCCCAGGGCCAATACAAAGCAAGATTTAACAAAGCTTTACAGACCATAACCGATTCTGTGAAATTTGAATGTCTTGTAATATGCATACTCCTTAAGTTCTTCAAAGTGCTCTGGATGAGAAACTGTATTTCAGTGGCAGCTTTCTTTTATCTAGTCAGAGTAACGCAAAGGCTGCCATTGACTGATGTGAGTTTCTTCTAGTCCCAGCCTGATTTTATAGAAGAGACTACCTGTGACACAGTACATTTAATTACAAGAGATGTTCTGGATTCACAAATGCAAACGCTTGCCATTACAATCACATCACAGAATTTCCTTTTAAAAAAACAAACAAAACAAAACAAAAACCAGATGAAACTCCACCTCGGAGCTAGTTTTGTTTTTTGCCCTTGCTATTTTTGGTGGGGAAGCTGTTGCACAACCTCCCTAATCAGGAATCTGAAAATGGTATTTTACATTTTAAATCTCTATTTATGCTCAGTCTCTAGTTATTACTTCTCCTGTTAAGTGTCCATAAGCTTAAAATAGTTTTTCTTCTCCTAATAGTTATTCTGGAGCAACCACCGTGATTCTCTACATTCTGTTTTACCGAATTACTTTCAGTTTCTGTTCTACAGACCAGTTGTGGTGGGTTTTTTTTATTTTTTTTTTTTTAATTAACTAAAATGTGTGCGTAAATATACCTCCTCTATTTGAGCAAGTTGTTTGGAAGTTAAAACTTTTACTATGATTTCAATAAGCAGAAAGAGGCAGTTTTCCTCTTCTTTTACAAATAAAGCTAGCAAGGGACCAACTAAAGTTACTACTACTGACAAGAAAAATGTGGTATCAAATTTTCAAAGGTACTTAAGCATGGACAACAAAACGACATTTTTCAGAGTACTCCAGTGGGTAGAGGTGCCCAACTCATAAAAATCAATAGCAGTTAGTCAGCTAGTCTTCAGTAATACCTGTGAATCAGTAGCATAGTTACAGCCATAGCACCCTAAGTGTGCTACAGGCAAGGCTAGACGGGAGAACTAGTGTCTTTTTGTAGGCCAGCTGATGTACTGAACCCCCCCCAAACAGACAGGAAATCAGGAACATTTCATGTCTGAGACAGAAAAAGTGAACTTCAATCTGGAAATTATTCATGTCTGGAAACAACTGCTCTGTGTTTTCATTTACTTTAATGAAAATCCTCCTGTGAACTTCTGTGCATCTCAGTATCATCTATTTAATACTCCATTTAATTTCTCATACTCTACCTACAGATAAGATTGATACTTTTTCTCTTTGTACCAAGAATCCAGTTTTATTTAACCATAGTAATAACAATCAATATACTGAAAAAAAACATAAGTAACTATAACTATATTCAGAAAAGGAGATATGCCAGTGGCATACCTCTCGGTCAGCAAAGAGTACCAAATTATCATAAGGGGTATGTCATTTCAATACCAACATATTTTAACCATCATACCAACCAGTAAGTCTTCCTTCAGGAAAACTGCTAACTGGTAGAAACACAAAACAGTATTAAAAAGTCACTTACAAATTTTGTCTCTTTCGAAGTTATTCAAACCTAAGTTTTGAATAGTCTTGACTTAAAAGGAATAGAACAGAATGATCCTTTTTTTTTTTTTTCCTAACATGTTTTATGTTACATTAGTGTCTCTCAAACAACCATTCACAGATTGATTTTTCTGATCTACTTCAGGATGGAGAGCTGCAAGAATTTTTTTTTTGGCCAATCTCACCAGGTTAAGGTTTCAGATTTTTGGCCTTAAGTAGAAAATGTTATCCACTTTGCATGTTACACATATTTGCTCACTTTGTGCAGAAAGTCGAGTTTCAAAGCTGATACATCAGCGACATCACACTTGAAGGCAGCAGCAGGCAAGCACCTGCACTCATTAGAAGAATCAGTCCTTTTCCTTCATGGAGAGATGCAAGCTCCCAAAGAAAGCCCAAGCATGCTGAGCTTTGTGGGACTGACAAAACATGTGCTTATGAAGTTTCAACAGTTTTGCTTTACTTACACTTTTCTCTTCCACATTCCAAAACACAACAGCCCCTTCCCTGTGAATTCAAGGAAAAACTAAGGTGTAATGATACTGTTTTAAATGTCTTTCAATGCAATACTCAAATTGTACAGTGGTAATTTTTGGCATTGTGAATCAAGAGACAATACTATATTCACAAAACCTACATAATAGTGGCTTTTTAACCACAGTTTAATGTAAAAAACCCGAGAAGTTATTTTTTAACCATTTAAATAATTCTGATTTTTTTTTTTTAAATCATTCTGCTTGGACAGTTATTCCTAAAATTTCATGAGGTAGTATAATGCAATGATCTAGCACGCTGCACTACTACTTTCACACCATTGCTATTAATAAAATAATGTTTGGGGCAAGACTTATAGCCTACCTGAAGAAAAAAATCATGCCAGAATCATCATCTTTTGCAGATTTCTCAGTACCAATCACCAAAACGTTTGCAGCATCTGGTTTGAAATAAATGAAAAAATTGAATTAGTCAAACTTCTAAAAGGATAACTATAAGCATATAACTCCAGTTTGACAGTTAGATGCTAACATGTTGGTCAGTCCCATAATTTTATTTTTCTGATGGAAATGCTTGCCAGGAAACAACTACAGTATCAATCTACACTGCTTCTCTGAAGTGTCACACTCTAGACAGACTCAGCCACTATGTTGAACTTTACTGGAATCTTTAGTTAATGAAATGTAACGGTTTTGAAGAGCAAAAGACTTAACAGAAAACTGATGCAGGGCATAGTAAATAACCAGAAACAGAATACAGAAGTGGACACACAACATCAGTGAACTATGCAAGCTGCCCACAGTTGCAGAGAAATTACCATTCAAATCTGTTTGCCCAGATCCTTCTCTTTTCTATGTAGCATGGGACTAATCTGCACACAAATTGTGCTGACTGTGCTTTGACAGTCAGAAACTTGAAAGAGCATAGCCCCAAGGCAGGAGAGGGTACACCTGCATTTTCCTTCGGATCAGAAGTGTGCTTTTGAAACAAATCTTCCAGCCACCTCCATTTACCACACTTCTCATGTGCACTGCAGAACAGTGGCACAGTACACAAACTGGCTTTTTTTGCACTAAATTACAACTGAAAGAAGAGCTACAAAAATGCACCTGTTGTACTCCAACCACTAACGGGTATTTGTTACAAAGGACCAGACTTGAGCTTGTGTAAGTAAATGCTCCAAAACGTAACAAATGTGGATGATGGGTTCTCAAAACAGGGTTGTGTTTTTTTTTTTTTTTTTTTTTTTTTTTTGTTTTTTTTTTTTTTGTTTTTTTTTTTTTTTTCTTCCCCCCACCCCCCCCCCTACAGGTCTGCTCCACTGTACTACTTGCTAATATAGATAAAGTTTTAGAGGTCCTGATGTGGTTTTGACTAAAAAAAAGGTTACTTTCCAGCATGACTCATTTTGTTGCAGAATTAGTGGAAGCTAGACAAACAAAACCCAGCCTTAAAAAGTTCACCCCTTTGCAGAAAGATCACAAGTCAAGCAACAAGGCATCAAATTCGGCCTGTGAACAAATTCCACCCTCTGCTTTACTGCTCAAGCCATAGAGGCCATGTAGATTGTGGCAGTAGAGAAAGATGACTAGGTATTGGATATACTTTTGCTAATACCTGAATTGAGACCACATGGTTGGTCTCTGTGAACTCCTGAAAGACTCTTCTTTCACTTGCTATTCGGGTTCAGAAACACATGATTTGATGAATCACTAGAGCAAGTTTTGGGTGTGAAATCTGAGTTCACCATGGAAGAAACATTTGTTTGCATTTTCTCTTTTGCCTTTTCAAATATCACCCAATCTTTATTTATCCATTCCAGCCACGCCATCCACAATTGAAGAGAATTTGGTCCATTTTAAGTGAAGGTACAGGATTTGCCTCCACAATGTTTTTAAAGAGCTCGAAAACAAGAATAATGCTTAGGAAGAACACTACAAAGCAACAAATCCACACAATAATTGCTGATTTAGATTTCTATGTGCTAATATTTTTTGATTTTCTGAGAGTCAACGTTTGACTGAGTAACCAACCACTGCTACATGCACAAATGAACCACCACAACACATCAGATCTACTGGCACAATCCAATATCCTTTCATCATTACTTCCTCAAAACTTTTGATAAACAAAGTATCTGTTGTGAGAAGTCAAAAACACACCATGAAGAAATGAAAGAACTGGCAAAACCCACACTCCCAGGGTAAAATACTAGCAACAGCAACATTCACCTTACCATAATTCACAGTCATGCTGGGGATTGTTTGAAGTTTTTATCTCAAAGCTGTGACGCCAGTGTTTTGTTTTAATGCAAAGGAACTACACAAAGGAAGACGAAACCTGTGCTCTGCAGCACCTTGTTGTTCCAAGTTCATCCTTCTGAGCAAGACAATCATTAGTAAATCTTGTGTTTGAAAGAAACCTGCTGGAGCATTACTGCACTTGGATTATTAAGTGTTTGAGAGGCAGCCAGACATCTGATAACCTCTACTGAAATGCCCATAAACACTGTCATTCTCTTAGCTTCATATAATCTATTCATTTATTCATTCAAAAAAAAAAAAAAAAAAAAAAAAAGCATTCTACTGCCAATGTATGAAAATCACAGCTGTTCTAGGGCATAAGGCTCCTTAAGCTATAAAAAGCTCCATTTGTTTTTTTGTTGTAGTATACTTCAGCTATTTCCAAGCCATACTTTCCTGAGTCTTCAGAGAAACTTTGTACAGAAACCAGAACCAATTACTTTAAGTCTAGCCAAGTGAAGCATTCAACAGTTGCTGGGATATATTTGGCCCAATAATAAAAGTATCAACTGCATTCTCTTCACTAGAACTAAACATGTATGTGTATAACTTTTTACTTTCACTTAGTCAGCAAGATTCTTTCTTGCACACCTTCGTCTCCAACCCTCAGCGATTTACATTAATAGAAGTGTGGATATGAAAAGAAGGTGCAACACTTCAAATCACAAAATTGTTTTGACAGCTGAAGCACTACGGTGTCACATTACTGAAAGATTAAATAAAACTTTCTGAATTTTTTCAGTTAGCAAATTTCTATAGAAATTATTTGTATCAGAAAATTTCCAAATTTATTTTTCCTGCATGCATCTTTCAATACTTTTAATGTCATTGTAATTTTGGGGGAAATTATCATAGGGTAACAGCAAGTGCTGGTCATATTGCTGTTCTGAAAGGTTGTTGCAGTTTTTCGGGCAAATGGAATTTTAAAGCAACGCAGTATTTTTATAGGCAGTATGATATATTACAGGGTACTACCAGAATAAGAATACATCATGTTATAAAAATTATATACCTCACCCATAGTTCATTTCCCAAGGTATAAACATTGCTTTTAATACATTTCAAAAATCTACCTCTAGGCAAACTTGTTATTTCAACATATCCATGTGAAGTCAGGTCATGACACAGATTACCAAGATGATATTCATCTGCTGTTGCAAAGGCTGTGCACTGCATCAGATTCTGTGCCAAAGGAATAAAGATTTGAGTTAGGGCAAGGCTGAAGCAAGATGTTCATAAGACAACTGTCTGCCTCAAATTTATTATGACAGTGACATTTTTCTTTTATTCAGTCTTTCCTATTTATTACCTTTGCCATGCTGTCCACCTGGTGTACAAATATGAATGAGATTACTTGCTTCCTGTTAAGTGGAAAAGCAAATCACAGACTGAGAGCAAACCAGGTGAACTAAGTCATACCAAAAGCTTTGTGAGAGCCACAGTGCACCCTTCTTCCCTGAAGGTTAATCAAATGCTTTAACAGTAGAGCTACACTTGCTACTGCTCTCCCATCCTACAGCTTATGACATAGTCGGCAAGACACCCCCAATGTCAGCTTTATCATCTATATTTTAATGATAAATGAAGTTCAACTATCCCAGCCTGCTTAACAAGCAGAAGCTCCCACTGCAAACATCACGCCTTTCCACACACAAAGCTCACTGCTCAGGGAACTCCCAGGGTAGGACCCACTGCAGCACAGCACCTCACAGATCTTCAGGGCCAGGGGTAGGTGCTGCAGAGCTACAGTGCCCGTCCCGAGCTGAATCTTGCACTAACAACATCGTCTCAACTGACACCACAGTCGAACAGTATACGACTGCCAGAGCTTGCCTCAGTATTCCACAATCTTAAATAACTAAAATGCCATATTTAAACAAATACCTGGAGAAATGATACTGACTTGCAATGAGACTGACTCACACATGGCAAAGAAATCAGAAAGTCATCTGTGTAAAGATCTTCTTGATTAATCAAAAAAGGCAGAGTAAACCGCTTTGCAAATTCTACTACTCATTTTAAGTGGATTTCTTTGTTCTGATACAATGTATGTCCCATAATAATGCTTTTCAGTACAATGTAGTGGAAGATATCCAGAAAGCAGTTTGTCTCATCGGGCATCAGTCACTTCGCAGCTTTTTGTAACTAATACAAATGGGGATGTAACTAACAACAAATGAACAAAAGAACTGTACTCATCTGCAAACATTTATACCCACAATACACTTCAACTTAAAATCCAAATTACATTCTCACAGCACTCACACACTATCAAATAGCAAGGCTTAAAAAGGTGTTCTATTCCTTTGGGGGCTCGTTACCAGTCATCAGAATCATGACCACACACTTAAACCTCCTTTTCTTTTTTATTGTTAACATTGTTATCACTTCCAAAGCTTTGCTTACACATCATCTCAATTCAGTGATCACTAACAGAAAATAAACTTTAAAAGTAATTATAATATTCAGTGAGCAATTCTGTAGGCATATTTACACGACTGTGCTATGAGGCTGAGTTAACAGTGGAATAGAACTGTCTTCTCAAGTTCCTTTGCTGCAGTACCTTTGAAAAGCTGCATTATCACAATTTTGTCTGAGAATAAATCCATTCTCAGTCTCTAAACTGTCAATGCAATTTATATATTTCAGATTCTTCCAGAAAGCTCTGGTTATTAGAAGTACACATGCTCTGCCATGAAACTCTTATGTCAAGAGTTAAGGGATCAAACTCTTATATTCTAGCTCGTATATAATCTGACAAACTCTACGCTGCTCTATGTTTCCTGCAGTAAATTGTTTGTGCTATTGTCCATTTTGAGGCAGATGCACTAGAGGACAGACTTTCTGTCTTACTGCCACAGTTTCCGTTTCAATGTAAACACTTTACATTTAGTTAGGACCAGAAGTTTTCTGCTAAGCCTACATGCCTGAAATAGCATTTGGATATGCATTAGTTTGTTTTTTCTGCAATGTACTGTTTCACTTAGATCTTTAGTAAAATCTTGTTTGATGGGGATTGTTTGGATTGGTTGTAATTTGAGATTAAGACACCTAAAATATATATGTCCACAGGCACTCTAGATGTCTAAACTCCCATGATAGTTGGCGGAGATACAGCCAACAAGTTTATACTCTAATGAGTGATTCAGCTAATCCTAAAATAGATGTGTTAACTGGTGGATCAACCTTAATGTCATGCTTTCTGCTATGCCACTGTCACCTGCAAGCTTCAAAAAAAAAAATACAAGATCTGTTCTGGTGCTAGAAAGAAACTGCAGCCACTCACTGCCCTCTTCCTTTCTGCCTACAGCTGAGTTTTCATTGACATTCTATTCAGAGCGCAGCTATCCTTAGGAGTAGCCACCCTAAGTACCTCAACAACTCATTTTTCTGTATCATCATGTCCCCAACAGCTGTACAGACTCATGAAACCATAATTCTCCTTAACCTATCCCTTCCACTTTAAGCATACAAAAATTTTTGAGAAAGAAAACAAGTAGGATGAACTTAAATCCTTATATCACCACAGGAATCAGTCTTTATCTTAAGCGTAGTAAATATTGCATCTTTACTTGCATTTCAAGCTTTTTCTATACTACTTGGCTATAGCATTAAAAATTAGCTCAGAGGCTCTTCGTGCCATCAGACCTCAGGAGATTAACTAAATTGGGTAGTGGTACTACTCACTGATGGACTGATTAAACCAGTTAACTGCTTTCAAGTAACTCCATCTGTCCTGAAAAACTGGTCTTGCGACCATTTGTCACTGATGGTGCTCAGCACTCTGCCAATAAACAGCACAGGCAGAGCAGTGCTGGGGAGGGGTGGGGCGGGCCCCATTCACAGTCTGTTCTGCCAAAGAAAGGTGTCAACTGTCTGGCCCTCCCAGACAAAAAACACCGGAGATCCTGGGGGGTTCATCCAAGTGAGACCTCAGGAGCGGGCCTAGAGCTGGCGTCTGAAGGGGCAAGTGGGAAGGCGAGAGGCAGCAGCCTGCCCCGGGTAAGGGCCCCGGCAGCAAGGCCCATCTTACTGGAGGGCTCCCGGATGCCTCCACACGCACGCAGGAAGGCAAGATCAGCTTTTTCATGACACCAGGATGTAGGGAAACCTGACGGTGCGCTGAAAAAATACTCAAGGATTCTCCACTTGCACTACTTTTATTAGTCATCTTGCAAAAATCAGCCACACCTTTTAAGTTATTTCTCTATACTACACATCTACAAGAAAATACACAAACAGGTTAAAAAAATGCTTATTCCAAAACACTGTCAGCTTACAGTCAACGCGACAGCCTGTCCATATCCCTGTAGATGGGGCTATATATCTGACAAAACCACATGGGGTTTATTCAGAAATAGCAAATGTTTCTGTTAGTCTGAGTTTGTGTGATTTCTGGCACAGCATTTTGCCATGTGGAAGCTTCCGCAGGAAGTGTATTATTATTTCAGTATGCCAGACAGTATTTTCTCCATTTCTTCACAATGGAAGAAAGTAAAAATAACAGGGCATATCACTTGTATACATATATATGAAAATGTCAAAGGAAGAAACTGTTTGCATTCTATGCTGCCATTTCAGAGCCACAATAATAGAAAAAAATTGTCACTTCACCAAACAGAAAGAAGCAACCTCTGAAGGTAATGTCACAGCATGAATAACAAGCTTGAAACATTACATGGTGTTTCAGGACTAATATTCTTCACTTTCTTTTTTCAAAGCAATGGGAAAATACAAGTGGGAACTAAATCATCTATAATGTAGTCTTTATGTTACATTAAAGCATACTCCTGCTTATCATACAGAATGTTAAGAAGAGAAGCTTACATGATGGGAAGTCAAGCATTAACACTTCTGTTTCTGTGCTCACATTCACCAAATCATGTAATAAACATTTTGCAACATAGAAGCTATTTCTGAAATCACAGTACTTGTTTCAGTCTCATCTAGAATACTATTTTATTAACAATACCCTGGAACTCAGTTGTAGCTTGAGGAGAACAGTGACACTTCAAACACCAGGATTTTCCTTGGAGATTTTATATCCAAGTATGCTTAAGGTCTGCCCTCGCTAGTATTGAGGCTTGCAAAGAGCTATCTCAAGGAGAACCAGCCATAAATATGCACCGTTCAGCCTAATCATATCTCATTTTACCAAAACAGTTTGTTGCTGCAGTGAGCCTGTAGATGTAGGAGTCTGGAGATCAAGGTGCTATTTCTACACATGGAATAATCTTCCTCAAGTAACACAGGCTACATCTGCACCTCCATTTCCCATCTGAAACTTAATCTGAATATAACCTTTAAACTATTTACTATCATCCTGATTTCTGTTTGAGTGAAGACTTAAAACTGGGTAGAATTGGACCAGCAAGGATAGCTAGGGGAAGTTAAATTATTCTGAAAGCTACACTTTGTTTCTCAATATTAAATGTGATTTGAGAGCGCAGGTTAAAATTATTTTTAATGGATTTCATCTTTCCGCTTTACTAACCACTTACCTGACCTCCACTTTTGTTTACACATTGCTAGTAAATCTCCACTTTATCTTCAAAATACCAGACACAATAGTTTCTATCAAACTTGCTTCTATTTGAAGAGTTCCAACCTCTTTGTGGCCACGTTAAGGTAAATAATGAAATCCTTCTCATCAAATAAACATGTTAATTTCATTTAAAAGTTAATCTCAACCCAAATCTGAATCTAAACTAAATTGATGAAGCTCCCTTAATGTTATACAAACTGTAAATTTTATACTTTACCTCCATGTCTGACAGTAGTGGCTGGTTAGTTCTGGATGGCTGCTTGGTCCTTGGTGCCTTCGGTGGCCTCTTAACTGGCTGGTTACTGTGTTTTGGAATAATTTTCCCAGCTGATACAACAGAGTAAAACCTTGATGATACGTTCCTAAGCTTTTTAATGTGCTCTGTATTGAGCTTGTAATCTTCTGTCATCGCCACACCAAAACGTTTCCAGGATGGGAAAAAAACTTCCCCACTCTGATAGTAAATATATTTTCCCAAAGGTGATACATTTCCTTGGACCAATTTCCAATTCTTGACTTCCACACATCGAGTTGTCAAACAAGGGGAAGCAGTTTTCAGAGCATACAAATTCCAAGACTTTGCTGTTCTGTCAACTTCACTATCCAGCTTTAATAGTGGATGTCCAGTTTTATTAAAGCTTCGGCACTGGCATATTGTTGTTAAAGCGTGGAAAGATCTAGTCTGAAGGCGCAGAAGTTTCAGTCTCATTGCTTCCCTCAGAACTGTATTTAAAACAAACAAACAAAATCATCCACTGATGCTTTGGAAAGAAATATATTATTATTTTCCCCTTATCTAAAAGGTGACCCATACTCCTTCTGCATGTGAGTACTCCTAAGCGCATAATCCCCATTGGTGGGATTAAACAGCTTTTTTTCAATGCTATAGAAATACTCTAATTACAATCACAACACATTATTGAGCTGTGTGCTTGCAACATAGGGTGAAAAAGTAGAATTGGTTGCTATGTCAGTATGTAAGCAGGCATCTTTTCCTTCTGCTGCTCATTCTATGTAGCAGTCTGCAATCAGTGACCCCACTGATGAAATTACGAGCAAGCACACACCTTAAAGGGGACATCAGACTCTGTGAATCGTTATTTTATACACAATAAAAACACCAATTTCATTACTAGGTGGTTGTATGGAAATGCCGCCTACAGGAGACACACACCGATCAGCACCAGCTCAAACTGCTGCATCGCAAACAGCCAAGCCCAGATCCAGCTCCACTCGCCTGTCACGAACAGAGCGAGAGCCAAGTCAATCAGGTTAGAGTCTTGATCCTGCAAGTATATACTGCTGCAACAGGGACTGCAAGGCCTGCTTGCAGACCTACCTGTGCTGATGGAAACATGACAATGTCCTTATTCTGTTAACCAAGACTAAGAGCAAGCTTATTATATTTACGCTATGCTGTATGAACTAATCAAATAAACTTTAAAAGTATTCACAGACAGTAGACTGAATACCTGAGTGGATGTTTCACTTGCTGAAAAATCTCAGCATCAAGTCCCCGCCCCATCTGCTTTTCTCCCTCGTAACACAAAATCCATCTTCAGCAAGTTATTAACAAAAAAAATACGCCAATTTCAGAATATTTTTCAAAACCTGTATAAAGATCTTCAACACCACCCATACATTTAATGTAACAGTTCAAATAAGAATTGTCTTGTGCGAACAAATCATTGTGTGCCAACTGGAACAAGCCCTCCATCCTGACAAGGATACCTAGATGCTAGCACAATACACTCACAACCTGAAAAAAAAACAAAACAAAACAAAACCAAACCTCACCTTGACATAACTTAGTGGAAGGGGAATACACTAATTCTGGTGAGAGGCATACAATTCTACAAAAAAAAAAAAAAAATGGACATAAAACACCTTTAGGCTATCACAGAATAAGTAATCGGTATTGGGCATAATTTTATATGGTCTTCATTTGTAGCTTTTTGCCCATTTTGTAAGCTTGCCATTTGCATACTTATTAGAATACACCAATTACTATTTTCATTTTAAACTTGTCCTGTATTTAAAAAGCAACCCAGAAGTCTTTGCCCATGACAAGGCACATTTAGCTTTTTCATGGCCTGTTATCTCTGGATAATCAAGAGAGCTTAAAAACTCAGCAACTGCAACCCAAGGTGGCTGAGAGTCAGGACAAGGGGCAAAGTCTTCGGTCGTGTGGGGTAATAAGCAGAAAGAGACTCAAAAATGCCAGGTACCTTCCTAGCCAAGGAAACCTTGTGTTGAGTCACAGCGATCCCTGAGGTGATTTTTTCAACTGTGCAGGCCTACAGCAAGCTATAAGGAAGCAATAATCTTGCAGACTAAATTCCATCGAGGAGCCTTAATGCCTGGTCTGTAGCAGCAGAGGCACCCAGCCAGGAAAGGCGGAATAGAGCAATCAATAAAGGGGGATAAAGAGCTACCGCGGCAAGGCAGCAGGCGCCATCCCTGAGCAGCAGAAGCAAATCTGCACTTTATTTTCCAACGCCTCTTTAATACACGACAGACTTCATTCACGCCCGTTGCCTTTCCAGCTGGGAGCTCAAGCTTACTGCGGTAGAGCCCGCGAGATGTAACGATAAACCGGGCCCACTCAGCCGCGGCCGGGCTGCCCTCAGGGCCGCTGCCCAGAGGGAACCAACGGCCGGTCTGCGCGAGGGCAGGGGAGAGGCCCCGCTGCCATTGGCCGCCTGCCGCGGTGGGCGGGAAGCAGGCCACCAGGGAGCCAATCGGGAGGAGGAGGCGCCCCGCCCCCGCCAGCCCCCGCGGCGCTCGGGCGGCTGACGGGCGCCCCTGGCGGGCGCCAGGCGCGCGCCCCACCGCTCCGCAACCCCGGGCCTTCCGCCGCAGCCGCGACACCATCGGGGAGAGGCCGGTGGCGGAGCGGCCGGCGGCACCCGAGTACTCGGTGGGGGGGGGCAGGGAGGGGAGCAGCCCAGCAACCTTTCTATGCCGCCTGCGGCAGCGGCAGGCCGGGCGCGGAGAACAGGATGGGGCAGGAAATCGGTCCCCCCCTCCCTCCCCAGGGCGAGGCAGGGCTCTTTCGCACCCCCGGGAACTGCCCCCGCCTTGCGCGGCCCTGCCCGCGGCGCCCTCCCACTGGCGGCAGGGTGGGGCAAGGCCGCACCCGGCGCGCTCACGTCCCCCGGCGGGCCCTGCGGCAAAGCCCAGACCGCGGGTTTCCGTGCCGCCGCCCCCGCGCCGCTCCGGGCGGGGGGAGCGCGGGGGATGTCCAGGCAGGGGCTACACAGCCCCCAGCCCCCTCAGCGCAAGCTCCCGTCGCAGCTCCGGCCGGCGGCGGGGAGCCGTGAAGGGCGGCAGCCGCCGCGCCACACCGTCCCTCCCCTCCCCGCGGCGCCCGCCCGCCGCCGCCGCCGCGCGCCAACACTGACCTGGGGGAGGGGGGGGAGGGGCGAGCCGCTCTCCGCCGCGCGAGCCGCGGCCCCGCCCACCGCCCGCCGAGCTCCGCCAGGGCGCGCGGGCCGCCAGGCCCCGCCCGCCCGTCCGTCGCCGTGCCGCGCGCCGCGGCGGGTGCGGCTGCCTCGCCAATAACGTCCGGCGGCCTCGCCCCACTTCCGGGGGGCGGCCCCCCGCTGGCGGGCGGGCGGGGGCGGAGCAAGATGGCGGCGGGAGCGGCGCTCCCCGTCTCCCTCTCGGGCAGGTTTAAGGGGTCCGTTCGCGGTCTGGCGCGCTCGTTACCGGCGGCGGGGTGGGGAATTAGGAGGGAGCTGAGGGAGCGGCAGCTCCCGGACTCCAGGACCCTCAGTCGGGGCTTCCGGGCTGGCGGCGGACGCCGGGTGGGGCCGGCGCTCGGCCTACTCGGGCGGCTGGGGGCGGTGCTGGGGAGGGGAAGGCCGGGCCCCGCTCGGCTCGGCTCGGGCGGCGGGTGGCGCTGTGGGCCCCGGGCTGCTGGCTCCGCGCCCCGCCGCAGGGGCGGGCGCCTCTCCGGGGCGGCCTCGCCTCGCCCCGGTTTGCGGTTGCGCCGGGCCGGGCCTCGGGAGGGGATAAGTTGCGTTTCTGTTTTTATCCCCCGGTTTCTTTGGGTTCGCCGTTCAGTAGCGAGTGACTTCGGTTCTGAGCCCCTGAGACCGGGGCTCCGACTGACGGGGTAGAAATCTTCGAATAAAAATCGTTCTTCTCAAGCTGTCTGTAGGGCTGGCCGCGTTTTGCTCATTGTCCTCGTATATAAACAGAGCTTGGGGGAAATGTGAATCGAGTATATAGTGGAGAGCAAGTAGTGTGGATTTTCTTGTTGATACAAGAAACAATTAAACTTTAAACAAATCTCTCTGCTTTTAATTTTAAGTTTCCTTGACTTTTACAGCTGGGTAACTGAACAGTTAGGGAATGCATTTTAGCCTAGGTTTAACTGTAATTTTCACTCTTTTGCAGGGCCTGCCACATAGCATTTTCTTCTCTGAAAAGACTGCCATTTATACTTTTCTTCAAAAGTAGACCTAAGAATCTGACCAGCTTGAGATTTTTTTTTTTATTGGTGTTCAGTGCTTTAAAGGCACATATACTTACTTTTAAGATCTTGCGTTTATTTAAAAAAATAGAAGGTACTTCGTCATTTCTTCTCAATAATAAAATTTTAATCCTCTCCTTTTTAGATCCTTTGCATATTTTACAATTAAAGACAGACTGCCCCAGATCCTCACAAGAGTTATTGATACTCTGCATCGACATAAAAATGAATTTTTTGAAGAACATGGTGAGGTAAGAATAAGGTGTCTTTTTGCCTGAATTTTTTTTTCCCCCTAACCCTTGAGACCGCATTCTCTGACTTAGTTTTGCTGGTTTCTTACTACAGCCATTACTTGTGATGGGTTGACCCTGTCTGGATGCCGGGTGCCCAGAGAAGCTGCTCTATCACTCCCCTGCTCAGCTGGATGGGGGAGAGAAAATATAATGAAAGGCTCGTGGGTCAGGGTAAGGACAGGGAGACATCACTCAGCAGTTACCATCATGGACAAAACAGACTCGACTTGGGGAAATTAGCTGAATTTATTGCCAGTCAAATCAGAATAGGGAAATGAGAAATAAAAACTAAATCTTAAAACACCTTTCCCCCACCCCTCTCTTCTTCCCAGGCTTAACTTTACTCCCAATTTTCTCTACCTCTTCCCTTCCCCACTGCCAGCAGCACAGTGGGATGGGAAATGGGGGTTGCGGTCAGTTCATGACATGCTGTCTCTGCTGCTCCTTCCTCCTTGAGAGGAGGACTCCTCACACTCTTCCCCTGCTTCAGTGTGGGGTCCCTCCTGTGGGAGGCAGTCCTCCATGAACATCTCCCACGAGTCCTTCCCACAGGCTGCTGCTTTTCAGAAACTGTTCTAGTGTGGGTCCCTCCCACGGGGTGCAGTCCCTCAAGAGCAGACTGCTCCAGTGTGGGTCCTACCCCGGGTCACAAGTCCTGCCAGCAAACCTGCTCCAGTCTGGGCTCTTCTCTCCACAAGTCCACAGGTCCTGCCAGGAGCCTGCTCCAGCACGGGCTTCCTCCAGGGTCACAGCCTCCTTCAGGGGCACCCACCTGCTCTGGCATGGACCTCCACGGGCTGCAGAGGCACAGCCTGCCCCACCATGGTCCTCACCACAGGCTGCAGGGGAGTCTGCTCTGGTGCCTGGAGCACCTCCTGCCCCTCCTTCACTGACCTGGGTGCCTACAGAGTTGTTGCTGTCACATATTCTCACTCCTCTCTTTGTCTGCAGCTGCTGTTGCACGGTAACTTTTTTCCTCTTCTTAAATATATTACCCCAGAGGCACTACTGCTGTCACTGGTTGGCTTGCCCTTGATCAGCTCTGGCTCCGTCTTGGAGCCAATGCCAGCTGGCTCCATCAGACATGGGGGAAGCTTCAAGCAGGTTCTCACAGAAGCCACCCCTGTAGCCCCTCTGCTACCAAAATCTTGCCATGCAAACCCAATGCACTTATCTGTCCTAATCTTTTTGTCTTTTTTTTTTTTTTCTTTGTCTCTTCCTTGTAGCCATTTTTCATTAATTTTGTAACTCACCTTTCTGTCTAACCTTTTTCTGATCTAGCCGTTCTGCAACGGCTTCACTTTCTCAGGTTTTCGTTTTGATGCAGTGTTTAATAGACTGTAGCATCTTCTGAATGTGGCAATGTTTCAGTACTCTCCCTCTAATAAGCAAAAAGTCCAATCTAAAAAGAAGTCCCATGCATGATTCATTTTAGGATGTTAGGTGTAAAATGAGCTTCATTCACCAAAACGAGTTTGGTTGAATCAAGCTCTGATTGGTCAGGGACTCTTATTTGGCCATTAAAACTTACCACTTATGTCTTTCATGAAAAATTGATCTGTTTCTCTGCAGGAATAAATGTTCAGAATATAAACTTTTGTTCTCCGCTTACTTCAGAAGGGTGTTGAAGCAGAGAAGAGAGCTATATCTTTCCTCTCCAAACTGCGGAATGAACTGCAAACAGACAAACCAGTGACCCCTTTAGAAGATGAGCTGCCTGATGTTGCACTGTGGAACCAGTACCTAGACTACCAACGAAATTTATCAAATGGAAATGGAGAACCGAGTTGGTTTCAGTCCCCGTGGTTATATGTAGAGTGTTATATGTATCGAAGAATTCATGCAGCATTAGCACAGAAGTAAGTGTTTACTGCCTTGGTATGTTACTCTGTAAAACATGATTTTTTCGCATTTTAGGAGAAAAGACAGCTGGGGTGTAAGTTAAAGGAAAATCTTAAGCTTTTACCATATTCCTTTTCCTGCATCTTGCACCTCAGATTTAAATACTTTTTCTTCTTCCATGCAGCTGAGTTGGAAGCTTATTAGATTTATGCATCAGTTTCTGTGACTTGATCTACACGGAAACCCTTAAGCTTGACAGTATAGCTTGACTTTCTTGCAGACTAATGCACATTGAGATATGAAAGATATTTAGCATTTCTAAAAGGTTTGTTAGTCTAGAATTACCTCTTAAGGCATATGTTAGCCTAAAAGATCTGTTGGGCAATCTAACTTGTTTTGCTGCTCGAAATCTGAAGTTATCATTTGAGAATAATTTTTTATAGCAGTAGGCTCAGCTTAAGCAGCCCGTTGTTCACTGTGCGCCAGCTTCTTAGTTACAGCAGTGTTTGCGCACCATGTGTTGCATCAAACTTTGGGAGCTGGTCCTGCTTAAAAATAACTTGGCAGGAAAAACTTGTTGTGCTTGTGTGGTGGAGAGGTGCCAGTACAATATAATGGGGTAGGAATGAGCAGTTTTAAGTTCCTGCTGCTGCCAAAAAAAATTGAAAGCTCCGTGCGTACTGGATTTGCCCATAGTGTTGCAGAGACGCAAATACAGTAATGGGATTCTGTTTCTACCAGTATATGGCGTACTTTGAGCTCTTATAGCAAAAACTTCAAATATGAGATGGATCTTCGCTTCAAAAACTGAGCAGATGCTTTTCATTAGTAAGCGTTAAGTTTCTTGATCTCCATTATTTAGCTGCTCTTATAGGCTTGGATGGAAGTTCAGTCATTTATCAAAAGGTGTGTATGCGAATGTGTCTTATAATAAATGAGTCTGTATTTTTTACCTATTACAAGAACTGAATTATTTTGTCACCTTTGTCATGTTAATTTTCTAAAGTCCTAGTTAAAAACTTTCAGAAGAATAATTTCGTATCTCTGTAAGAGACTTTGGTATGGGAAATACACTTCAGCACACACAAACACGCTTAAAGCAGGGCCAGCAATTTACTCCATTAGTTCACTTGTACGTTTTAATTCTCCACGTCTGAAGAAGAGTGCAAAATTGTTACTGTATGGGCAGTTCCCAGAGTTGCTGTGACTGAACTCTTGTTCACTTTCAGAATGTATTGCTAGAAATATAAAGATGTCTTGCATATTGTCTGCTTCAGCAAGATATGATATCAGGCTGTTACTGAGATGAGTGAAAATCTAATATGGCAAATTGGAAGTGGAAAATAACTGGGGCCCATAGTACGGCCTAAAAAAGCTGAGCTTTGAGCTTGCTTTTTCAGGTGTGCTTCATGTGCTGTCATGGAAATGTGGTAAGTGCATTAATACATATTTGTTCTTCTTCTGTTTTTAGTCCACCTATTGACAACTTTGATGTATTTAAGGAAGGAAAGACTCAAAATTTCTTTGAATCCCAAGAGGCGGTTATTACCTTATGCACTTACTTTCAGGAACTTCTTAAAAACATCAAAGATCTAGATGAAAAGCAACTTCAGGAGGAACTTTTTAAGCTATTGCAGGTAAGCTAGTAGTGTTTAACATAAGAATTTAAAATATCTCCCCTGTGTAACAAACAAAAACTCGAGGCTATAAAGAGTCTGATCTTCATATGGAAATTAAAATGTAGCTCTTGTTTGTAAAAATGAAATGAAATACTGACAGCCATATTGTATTGCTGCTACTCTGCAAATATTTCAATTTTGGTTACTTGTATTAAATGTGACATTTTCATTATACTGCTGGTTTTCTTGTGTATTTGAAAATCTAGCTTTTTCTCCCTTAAAACCAGTATCTCTAAAACATTTAAAGTCAATTTCCATATGTCCTTTTTGTTATTTAACTATAAAATTTTAAAACGGTTCATTTTATTGAAACTACAAATTTTTAGATTGCTTTGGAAAAAAGAAGTCAGAAGTCAGTCTGGGCCAGAAGTGGTTTAAAAGCTTCATAACTGCATTATTCTTGGAAAATAATGTCTTTGGATAGAATACAGAATATCATAGGATTACAAACAAGTCCATTAGCTGGCAACAGGGCACACAAAGTATTTGATTAATTTTTATAAAGACCCTAATTAGCATGTACTTAATATACAAGTTCTTACGTGGCTGCATGTAATAAAAACCCCCCACCTGCTTTTATTACAAAATTTTCTGTGTTCCCACTGATATTTTCTGGAATTACAGTATGGAGAATATTTGTGTTTTGAAGCTTTGTGATCAATGTATTTATGCTGATCTAAATCTTCCATCTTTGTCACTTCTGATGCATGTTACTGATGCCTCCATAAACACAGAACATTGTTTGGTTTCTTACACAGAATCTTATCTGTATTAAGATTTCTATACAAGAAGTTGAATTTTATTTAAAGCTTGGAGGAAAATGTGGAGTTTGTGTCTTCATGTCCCTAATTTAAAAACAAACAAACAATCTTTAATGCATGTGAAACTTAGAATGTAACCACAGTGGGACTTAGCAAATGTTTTTGTTTTTTCCTCCTTCTAGGTGTCACTGTGGGGCAATAAGTGCGACCTTTCTTTTTCAGCTGGTGAAGACAGCTCTCAGAAATCTAGTCCTTTACAGTCCCTGGAAAACATGGTACCTAACATCTTAGTGAATGATATGGAGAAACTTTGGTCACTGCTTGTAAACACCAAAAAAAGAAATACAAAAAAAAATGTTAGATTTGACATAATCCTGGATAATGCTGGATTTGAACTTGTAAGTGATCTTGTGTTGGCTGACTTCCTGTTATCATCAAAGCTAGCTGATGAAGTCCATTTTCATGGAAAAAGTATTCCATGGTATGTGTCAGATGTCACAAAGCATGATTTTAACTGGACTGTTAAACAACTACAGTCAGCTAATCATATGTGGATGTCTAGATGTGGGATAAACTGGGAGGGCAATTTGAAAAAGGGAGTTTGGGTTTACCATGATCACATGTTTTGGACTTTACCACATGACTTTTCCAGTATGGCAGAAGTTGCTCCTGACTTGTATGCTGATCTACAGAAGTCAGACTTGCTTCTTTTCAAAGGTGATCTAAACTATAGAAAATTAACAGGAGATAGAAAATGGGAATATACTGTTCCATTTCATCAAGCCTTAACCAAGTTTCATCCTGCACCCCTCTGTAGTTTGAGAACACTGAAATCTGACACTCAGGTTGGCCTAAAACCTGGCCAAGGTGAACAAATTCAGGCTTCTGAACCAGAATGGATGGTAAGTGGAAAATACGGGGTAGTTCAGCTTGATGCTGCTCTCTAGTTAAATGGTTCCTAACATTCTGAAAGAGACATTCAGTTGTGAGTTGTAACTGCTTTCTCTGTTCCATGCTTGGCTTCAGCAAAGATTCTTTTTTGTTTGCACTTTTTCCTCCCAAGTGGTTTATTGTTTTTGTTCCACAAAAGACTTTAATATTGTGCAAAAGTTTACAAACTGTCTTTGTATACATAAACCGATCTGCATTTCAATATAGTTTGTTTTCCTCATCTCCGATGTCAACAGATGTTTGAGATGAACATTTAGTTGTCCATAGTATTTTTTTTCTTCATCAGCGGGTATGAGAGTTTGTAGCTAACAAGTGAAAAATCTGCTTCAGAAACCATTTCCTCAATCCCATGTTAACGTGTATTTACTTACTTCAGGATAATATGTGCTCCGCATGCCATGCACTGCATGAAAGTTAATATTTTTGAGAATGCACAAATTAATTCCAGATAGATTCTTTGCAACCCATTGCAGGACTGTATTTAAAAACTGTTGACAATTGAGTTGACTTCTGCCAAGATCTTACTACGTAAATTGTTTTTCACTTGCTGCTTGTGCCCATGAACGAATAACTTTTGATGTTTTGAGTATAGTTCGCTGTACAGTAAGAGAAGAGTTCTTGGGTGATACCTTGTAAATATTAATTTAGAACTTGAAAGTTACATTTTAAACTTAAAGTACAAGTGGATGTTGCTAGCCAGTTCGCCTGTAGGAGAGGAGTTGTCCCATCTGGTAGGAAGATTACTGGGAGAAAGGACGATCTCATTTTAAGAACATGAAAGATGCGGTTTATGTAAGAACCTCTACCAAAAGGAAACACACACAAAAAAAACCCAAACCAACCAACCAACCCACCCAACCAGTTACATTAATTGGATTTTAGGTTTAACACAGATTTGAATTAAAGGTGGCCTGTCAGCAGTGTTTGTGGTTCAAGCACTGCTGCCTCTTTCCACTGTGATAATTCTCTTCATTTGTCAAACGTATTTGTATTTTTTAGGAAGGATGCCATAATTTTAATAGGGGAAACAGCCCCAGTTGCACTGAGAAGTATATGCTAGAGAAGGCTGCTGCTAATTGCCTAGGTTGCTGCTCATTTGAGTTAGATGCTTGTTTATTCTCTACTACCACGATCTCATATTACTCATAATTTTGGGGAAAATTTAGGGATATTTTGGTGGATATTCAGAGTGAAGTGAAATGAAGGTAGAAATTCATTATCCATTTATAAAGGAAAAATTAAAAATAGATTCTCTCGAGTCTTAAAGTACTTATATGGTTTGAAATAGGGCCTTTGATAGGGGACTGATGTGTAATGCCAGTGATAAACACAGCTTTATTAGAAAATGGTGACAGAATTACCCATAGAGTTTGACTGGGTTATGCTCTTGTCTAGAGCTGCTAAAATGAGGTGAACTTGCCCCTGGTAGCCAAGGTGGCTATGTTACAGAGAACAAAAGTAGACAGTAGAGAAATTTCCTTTTCCATTTTACATAGGTTTATACCGTGAAAAGGAGGGCACAGAAGTGGCATTACTGGAGTACGTTCTGGAAGTGGTGCTATGGCAAGGAAGTTAGAATGACTGTGTGGTAGAAAGTGGATTTAGAAAGACTTTTGCACTCACGGTTAACCTAGGGCAAGGGTAAGCATTGGCAGGCCTAAATAAATGACAGGGGAAGATGAGGCAGTATTTTGTACCTAATTCAGGCTTTGAAAATGAAGCTGGATTCCCCTTCTGGTCAGGGAAATCGCTGGCAAAGCATGTCCTCTGACGTGGAGAGAGTCAGCTGCCGCTTACTGTGTTCATACAATAAAGATCTATACAGTGGATAAATATGCTCCAACTGCTGATGACTTTCATTATTTGTGTTTGTGTTCTTACATCTGAAATTATATTAATATTTTGAAGTTGCACACTCAAGTATTCAAAAACTAAGATGCTAGGAATTTCAGGAGGCAATGTGATATTGTAGAGTTCTACTTTTGAGATCTGGGTTGTGTTCTCCTCTCCTTTGCATCTCTGGCTTAGTACTCCTGAAGGATGAATTTATGCTCATCCTTAGGCACCTGATTAAACTGTGTAACTTAGAAATCCAGTCAAGAGAGCTGAAGGTCTCTGACTGGAGAGAGCTCAGGGGTCTCCAGCTTTGGTGCTTTGATCAAATACATGAACAACATGATGAATCTGGGCACTGGAGCCTCAATTTCTCATCTGTGAAAATGCTGTTAACTTGTTTCAAATGCACTTTGAAGTAACAACTTTGGGTCAAGAACAGAGGGATGGAAGTCGTGGAATATGTGCAATGAAAACTTGCCGCCTTATTCAGAGACACAAAACGATTAGGGGAAGAATTCTGCTTTGTCTGTGGACAGATTGTTTGTAAGGCACTGACTTAATTTGCTGGAGAGGTTTAAATGTGTGTAATGGACAAGAAGAGAGTTTGGCCTCATTGTCAAGGCCACTCTTGCAGAATAGATTTGCCTCTTCCACAATCCTTACACATGCTGAGAAACTTGATTTCATTTTTCACTGGTCATTAATCTGTTTCTTGGTGCCCAGGTTGCTTTCAAGCTGTTACTTCTGGGAGCTCACAATACAGAGCAGTGAAAATTAATGTTTTTAAGTTATGATAAATAGAATCCTACAGAATGCTAAATCACTTAGATGCAGCAGTATTCACTCAGTATTATTGAATCATCTCATTGGAGATTGTTGCATTAATGTTTGTGAGGAAGTAGAGTGCTGAATTCATAAGTACCATAAAACTTGTAATTCATAGCATTCAAATGCTAATCTAAGACATGATGTCATGCTGGGAAAAACAAACAAAACAAAACAAAAGCAAAACCACAACATTATTTCTATTCTCCAGTTTAATAAGTGAGCACTTTTCATCTTTTGCCCTGCACAGAGAAATTTATATGGTATCATAGAGTGTGACTACATAGTTATGTGAGGAATGCACAGCTGTAACTTCCATATACTTAATTGCTTCACTTCTATAGCTGTAATTGCAAAGTGCTATCTATATACACAACTGAATATACAACTTACTTGGTTAGTATGTCAGTTTGTTAGTTGGTTATATTTTTGTAAAATTTGGATTGATTCTATGGAAAAATAAAAAAAAAAATGGTGCTGTAATGCCAGTGTTCTGTTCTCCCATGCCACAAAGAAGTAGTGAAGACAGATACTCTGATGAAGCACTGTGCTCTGCTGTTGGTTTAGCTACAGTTTAGTGGAAAATAGAAAATGCTTTTGTAGACACTCAGTGTTAATTACTTGTGTAATATAGTTTCATGGACTGGCAGCTTGTGACTACTGCATTTAGGTGGAATTTAATGTTACACAACATAAAACCTATAATAATAGAATATGCTATAATATAGCATATTTTTTTTCTTGAGTATTCAAGAAAGTTGCTTCTGTACATCTGTCTTACAACCAATTGCCCAAAATGCTTGTACAGCATAACTCAGAAGATGCTGATTCATTCACGCAAATTCTTGAGGTTTTAATTTTGTGTGCCATTTGGATGTTTATAGCTAAAACAAGGGCCTTTTCAGTAATTCTGAGGACCACAACAGACCAATGTCTTTTGACTTGTATTTTTTTATTCTACCTTTTGAGCAACTGTATTTGTAAATCAGTTTTTGATAGCGATGATTTTCATTTGTGATGAAACAAGAGGAAAAGTAATGTCACAGGCACAGTGAAAGCCAGTGCACACATCTGTCTGAATACTTGATAATTCATTAGATATGTGTAATAATTCCATATGTTTATAAGGATTCTTCAAATAAACTAATGTGGAAAATAAGTTGATTGTATGACTGGAAACTGTTGCAAGAATATTGAAATAAATGACATAATTTTGTGCGAAAGTCAAACATCATTATACTATTTCAGTGGCTGAGAAAGCCAACTGAAAATAATTCAGGTGTTGGTTCCTGAAGTTTTTTTTCTCTGAAACAGATTTTATACAAAAAACAGTAAAGCATATTTATTCAATGAGATTTTGAAACATACAGATGCAAGAGGTGGGTATCACAAAATGTTCCACTTCACCGAGACAGGGCAGTATTAGGGAAGTTTTTACTTTGTTACACTACCAACATTCTTGTTCAAATTTCAAAACATTAAAAAGCATTGAGGATCTTATAAAATGTATCCAGTAATTACTTACTAAGGTTGGGGCAGCTGATGGTGTCATTATCAGGATCACTTCCCAGACTGATAGATCTCAGCAAAAATGGAAGTGTCTTAGTGTGTTACACTTGCTGTAACTGTAATATTTCCAAATCACTTTGTTTTACACACCTTACTGATGCATAAACCCTAGCTATTATTGCTGAAATAGTTCCTTTGAAGTTCATAGAGTATTTGTATTCATGGTTAAACTACTTAACTACTTGTTCCATTCAAAGCATATTTATCTTATGTGCACTGTCAGACAGCATAGGAAGAATGTTCACTCTATTGCATGAAAGTTGTGTCTAAAATATAAATTCCAAATTTTGTACAAACTGTTTATTTTTTTTCATTAAACTGTTTGTTTACAAGCCTTCTGTTTATCCAAAGTTACAGAACAAAAGTTTGGGTTTATTTTTATTTAAAACAAAAACATAAGTTCAAAATCACCTAAGATTTATCTGAAGATTTTAAAATAAAAAAAAAGATTTAAAAATAAAACTGTGAAAATGTACTGGTTAAAATGGTCCTTTTATTTCTTTCCAATACAGCATGTGTTTTTTATTTACACTTCTTTTTGGGGTTTGGCTCATTTGGCTTTGTTTCCACTGGGAAAAAATATAAAATGTCATGTTACGATCATATAGAATGAATAAACATATTCAGTACTCATATGCTGCTTTTGTTTTATCACTTTTTCGGTAAGCTAAATAATTGTAGTCTTTCAATTTGCCTGTGAAGAAAAATGTTCATGCTTGTAGGAATTTCTTTTATCTTTCCTGGGATTGCACTTCTTCCAAGTCTTTGAAGTAAAAGATTGAGCTGAGAAGACTAAGGTAAATATATCAAGGTATATATTATGGTATTTTTTGTTTGCTTTCTTAATGTTAACCAATTGATTACTCTCATTCTGTGATGGTAAGGCTGATGCTTTCGAAGTGACTATAATTGATAAAGGGCCTGATCATACAGTTGCATCTTTCAATGTGTGGTTTACACCGAGTTTTGCCTGCAATTGTGTTGTTTTGCTCAGGGATTAATTTTAAAGGAGGACTTGGTTGTTACCAAACGTGGAGACAAACTCCCTGATGCTTAGGCAAACTGGATGATGGAGTAGCAGAAGGTATCCAGGCCTCCTACTGCATGTATGGAAATGTCTGTACAGAAACCCTGTGTATTCAGTGCAGCGCTGCTTCATGCTGGCACAAGGGCAGGAGTATCCCCGGACTCTCACTCCTGAACTTTAGGCACTTGCAGAGAAAGGCTTTCTGCCCCGTTAGCTATTAACGTACAGAATATGGTGCTGGGCTAATCACACAGAGCATCCTTGAAATACTGGAGCAAGGCTCAATCTTTCAAAATGCTTGTATATGCTAATGACGCAGCAGAAAAGGACCTGCAAACTGGTAAATCCGTGCTTGCCGTCAGCGGCTGAAGTGAAGCTGCACTTGAATGCCTTTGGGACCTGCTGGATATGCAGCTTTGAATCAGTGGTGTTGGATTTGGCCCTTGGAAGTTTTGCTGCTACTTTCCTGGATCCTGATGGAGCATTAGCAGGAGCTAGTTGCCCAGTGCAAATCAAGGAGTTTCCATACATACGTGGAAACCTTAGTTCCACATACAGAGCATTTCCAAAATAACTGCATGAATGGAGTTTAAACCTTCAAAGACTACCTCTGGTTTAAGTTCCCTAAACTGAAAATGACCTAATATGTCAGTAGCAGCTTTCAAAGAAGAAACTTCTGGATTTTCAAAGGCAATAATTTCTTATAAATGGTCTTTTTTTTTATTTTTATTTTTTTTTACCATATTTCTTTTTCAATACCTGCAAGTATCATTTAATGGAATTTATTGCCTTTCCATTACTGTGCACTTACTGCTGATGTCCTGAGCTGGAAAGCAGCTGTGCAGTGTTTTAATCTGTGTCCTGTCTCTCCTATGTCTCCACATGTAGATAGATAGAGATATGTACATTTGTCTGTGCACAAAGTATTTTAACCAAGTATTTGTTTACATGGACATTATCACAGAACAGTTTGGGTTGGAAGGGACCTTAAAGACCATCTAGTCCCAACCCCCCTGCCACGGGCAGGGCCCCCTTCCACCAGCCCAGGGTGCTCCCAGCCCCGTCCAGCCTGGCCTGGAACCCTTCCAGGGAGGGGGCAGCCACAGCTGCTCTGGGCACCCTGGGCCAGTGCCTCACCACCCTCACAGTCAAGAATTTCTTCCTTACATCCAATCTAAATCTACCCTCTTACAATTTAAAGCCATTACCCCTCTTCTTATCTCTATACTCCCTGATAAAGAGCCCCTCCCCATCTTTCCTGTAGGCCTTTGTAAGTACTGGAAGGCTGATGTAAGGTCTCCCTGGAGCCTTCAAGCTGAACAACCCCAACTCTCTCAGCCTGTCCTCATAAGGGAGACCTTGATCATCTTTGTGGCCTCTTCTGGACCTGCTCAAGCAGGTCCATGTCTTCCTTACGCTGGAGTCCCCAGAGCTGAACACAGGACTCCAGGTGGGGTCTCATGAGAGTGCAGTAGAGGGGGTGAATCACTTTCCTTAACCTGCTGGCCACACTTCTCTTGATGCAGCCCAGGATATAGTTGGCTTTCTGGGCTGCGAGCACACGTTGCTGGGTCACGTTGAGCTTCTTGTCAACCAACACACCCTAAGTCCTTCTCGGGGCTGCTCTCAATCCCAGCCTGTATTTGTGCTTGGGTTTCCCCCAGCCCATGTGCAGGACCTTGCACTTGGCCTTGTTGAACTTCATGAGGTTGGCACAGACCCACCTCTCAAGTCTGTCAAGGTCCCTCTGGATGGCATCCCTTCCCTCCAGCGTGTCAACCACGCCACACATCTTGGTGTCACTGGCAGACTTGCTGAGGGTGTGCTCTATCCCACTGTGCATGGTGATCCCAGCACTGGTTCCAGTATGGACCCCTGAGGATTATCACTGGTCTCCACTTGGACATTGAGTTGTTCAGCACAGCTCTTTGGGTGTGACCATCCAGCGTTTCTTATTCACTGAGTGGTCCATCTGTCAAATCTATGTCTCCAATTTAGAGACAAGGATGTCATGCAGGACAGTGTCAAATGCTTTGCACAAGTCCAGGTAGATGACATCAGTTGCTCTTCCCTTACCCACCAGCGCTGTAACCATGTTGTAGTAGGTCACCAAATCTGTCAGGCATGATTTGCCCTTAGTGAAGCCATGCTGGCTGTCACCAATCACCTCCTCATTTTTCATGAGCCCCAACATAGTTTTCAGGAGGATCCACTCCATGATCTTGCCAGGCACAGAGGTGAGACTGACTGCCCTGTAGTTCCCTGGGTCTTCCTTTTTTTCCCTTTTTAAAAATGTGGGTTATATTTCCCCTTTTCCAGTCAGCGGAGACTTTACCAGACTGCCATGACTTCTCAAATATGATGGAAAGTGGCTTAGCCACTTCATCCACCATTTCCTTCAGGACCCGCGAATGCATCTCATCAGGTCCCATGGACTTGTGCACCTTCAGGTTCCTGAGATGGTCTTGAACCTGATCTTCTCCTACAGTGGGCAGTTCTTCATTTTCCCATTCCCTGCCTTTGCCTTCTGCATCTTGGGCAGTGTGGCCGGAGCACCTGTTGGTGAAGACTGAGGCAAAAAAATCACTGAGTACCTCAGCCTTCCCTATATCCTGAGTAACCAGGTCTCCCCTTTCCTTCCAGAGAGAGTCCACATCTTCCCTAGTCTTCCTTTTATCACCCACATACCTATAGAAGCTTTCCTTTTGGCCCTTGATGTACCTGGCCAGATTTAATTCTATCAAGGCTTTAGCTTTCCTAACCTGATCCCTGACTGCTCGGACAGTTTCTCTCTATCCCTCTCAGGCTATCTGTCCTTGCTTACACCCTCTGTAGTCTTCCTTTCTGTGTTTGAGTTTGTTCATGAGCTCCTTGTTCATCCACACAGGCCTCCTGGCATTTTTAACTGACTTCCTCTTTGTTGGGATGCATTGCTCCTGAGGTTGGAGGAGGTGAACCTTGAATATTAACCAGCTTTCTTGAGCCTCTTTTTCTTCCAGGGCTTTATCCCATGATACTCTAGCAAGCAGATCCCTGATGCAGACAAAGTCCGCTCTCCTGAGGTCCAAGGTAGCGAGCTTGCTGTGCGCCCTCCTCACTGCCCTGAGGATCTCGAACTTCACCATTTCATGGTCACTGCAACCAAGGCTGCCCTTGAGCTTCACACTCCCCACTAGCCCCTCCTTGTTGGTGAGAACAAGGTCCAGCATAGCACCTCTCCTCGTTGGCTCCTCTATCACTTGGAGAAGGAAGTTACCATCAATGCATTCCAGGAGCCTACTGGATTGCTTATGTCCTGCTGTGTTGTCCCTCCAACAGATATTGGGGTGGTTGAAGTCCCCCATGAGGATCAGGGCTTGTAAATGTGAGGCTGCTCCTATCTGTCTTTACAGGGCCTCATCTACTCGGTCTTCCTGGTAGGGTGGCCTGTAGCAGACCCCCACTGTAACATCTCCTGTTCCTGCCTTCCCTTTAATCCTGACCCGTAAGCTCTCGGCTGGCTCCTCATCCATCCCCAGCAGAGCTCCATGCACTCCACCTGGTCACTGACACAGAGGACCATGCCCCCTCCTCGTCTCCCCTGCCTGTCCTTCCTAAGAGCCTGTCTCCTTCCATTCCAACACTTCAGTCGCAGGAACCATCCCACCACATCTCTGTGATGCCAGTAAGATTGTGGCCCTGCAGGTGGGTGCACGTCTCTAACTCCTCTTGTTTATTCCCCATGCTATGTGCGTTTGCATAGAGGCGTTTCAGTTGGGCTCCTGATGAAGCTGAATACCTTGGTACTCCTCTTGTTTCTCCCTCATTAAAACATAGCTTGTATGTTGGATATAATTCTTGAATTTGCAAGTAAAATATCTGACTGTAATTTCCAAAACTTCAGAATATCTTATTTGGAAAGTGTAAGTGCAGTGTTTGTTACACCATGAAGCTTTGCATTTTCATTATTGCTGTTTGCTTTTTGTTTTCAGTCTATGGTTATTCTGCTCTTACATGATAAGGAGGCATCTAGTAATGCTGTAATAAAAATGTTTGGTTACTGTTTTGTCATCTGAAGACATTTAATAACTGCTCATCGGGAGGCTAAATTGTTTTATTGCCACACATGAGATCTTCAGGAAAACCTCTCCAGAAGTTATTTCTTTTTCACTGACGGTTCTGGGAAATGACTTGCTCAAACCTGAAATATAGGGGGTAGATCATGCTTAAACAGATTCTGTGTTAAAACCTCACTGCTTTCTCAAGTCTGATTAGTTCCCCCAGATACATATTGCATTTTCACCTCCCAGTGGGGGAGTCCAGGATTGTAAAGCTAACTGGCTTATTTCCTTTGGAAGATTTACTGACCCCATGAGATGCCTCCATCAATTTAGCTGAGCTGTGCAGATTCACATGTAGATTCACATGGAATGAGGACAGCATTAAACTCAATGTTTCAGGGAAAAAAGGACTCCCATTTTGGTTATGCAGAGGAACAGCTAAACTTAATCAGACTAGTTAATCCTTCTTAAACTTGTCCACTACCAGATTTACAATAGTAACTGGTATCAGATGCAATTTACACACACATCTTAATCATATTAGTTAGTCATATTGTCTCTCCACT